CATAATAAAATGTGATATTTTAATAAATCGTTTATTTATTTGCCTATAATAATTTTAATTACGCTAAGGTGTTGTTACTACAAATAATGCTATCCATTATATATAAACCATACTTGCCCAATTAAAGTGAAGAACATTTTACCCACTATGGTAGCTCGATTTTGTTTTTAAATATTTAGTAACGAGTAGTAATAAAACTGGAAACTGAAAGTTTTGTCATTGCCGTTAAAAATACTATTTATTTTTGTATTTATTAACACTTGCACAGTTGTTATTAAATATTTAGAGGAAAGGCGATTGTTGTAAATAAATAAAATGAATGTGAATAGTTATAATTAAATATGAAGCAGATTGTTGATATTTTGTATTATTGTATGGTCACGGCTATAATAGTTTGCACATAAGATATTTTTGCTACAATAGTACAAAATGTAACTCAAAAAAAGATGCTAACCACGCTTTAAACAAATTATAACAGTATTTTTAAGTTAATTTTGTACATTGCTGAGTGCGTCGGTATGCCCTTTTAGTTCTTAACTTATATTTATTTTTAATTCTTAAGTCTTTTTATATGTGATGTGTGAGATTTTATATTAATTTAGGCATAATCATGAATTAAGGCAAAATGTTTATAACGCCTTACTGAAGTCTAATCAGAACAGAATGTTCTCTACATTTTGTATGATGTAACGTACATATTTTATTAAATCGTTTTTTACTATAAGTAGTACTATTACTATAAATGTGACTGAAATAATAAAAAAATTAAATTTGGCATTGTTTTTGTTTTCTAATTCCTCACCTTAAGAAACTTAAAAGGATTGATAATTAAATATTCTTCTGAATTTAATTCTGAGCCCATTACTCTCGAGTGAATTGTTTTGCCATGACAAAATTCTAGTATCAATAAGCCTAATTAACTAATTGTAAGTCGATTGATATTCTTGAGAACAGTTTTTCAAGATAAGAGGTTTATTTTGTGCCCTGATAAATCACATAATATCACCATATCGCTCTATAATGGTATCGAGACTACCCACTTCTGTGGTATTGAACTATTTTGTTGTCAAAAGATCTGCAAAGTGGATTTCTTTTACCTTTTCTCGATTTCAACGGTAAATATTGTTTTAGCGACCAGCAGTAATCGGCTAACATATTTATACTAAGTGTTTGTGTTTAGAACTTGACAGTATTTAGCAGACCTGATCGGTCAAACCTATAGATATATCGGCTTACTTTGTTGGCAACTGATTCTCTACATTTGACCTTGAACTGACCTTCCTGGTTAAACGGACATCTGGCTCGGATTCAGCGACCCCAAAAAAATTATAGATATATTGGTTTACTTTGTTGGCAATACCTTGTCTACGTTTGACCTTGAACTGATCTTAACCCAAAGTTAATCGGATTGAATGGACACCGGATTCGGATTCAGCAACCCCAAAATCGTGGATACCATGGTCTTGTCTTTTGGAACTCGCACATTTTTTTTTGTTGGGCCGTGTTATTAGAACCCAAAAATATTTTAAAGGTAGGTTTTAGATTGTAGATATATGGAGGGGATTTTTATCTTCTGTGACCAACCAAATAGATTTATTGAAGACCTCCAAATATCATATAACTTTAGCCTTTTGATTTGGCTTACAGCTTTCACAGCATCTCTTTATTCATATAATTATCACTTTCTAGTTTTTCTTTTTCAAATAATAAATTGTGCGTCCATTTTAGGCCTTCACATTAACACAGTGTATAGCAAAGTGTATATGAACACCAACCTATAAAACTTAAAATTATCAGGAAATTTGCAGCTAAATTTTAAAAAGAGATACATTTTTTCAATAAAATGCAGAGAAATATTTTTCCAGTGGAATGTCGCTAAGCATTAAATTCTGCACTACTTCAAATCAATCAAATTTAGTTCACCCTGTACATAAGTGTAATGACTTAACAGCCGACATCAACCAAGATTTTTTAAGAATTTTGAAAATGTATATTTTTTTAATTTTATGCACAAACTAGATACATATATACTGGTTAATTTTTAGTTTATAAGAAAATGACACTAACATATTTGAATCGTCTGAAAATAAAAATAAAATTTTTATAAATATATAGGATTTATTAGCCAAATTTTAATAACTTTCATGTAATTTGACTAAATTTCCATATTAAATAGTCATTATAAAAAAAAAATGCTGAAAACTGCCGATTTGATTATTTTTAGATATGCTTTTATTTTTAACTTGAGCTTCGTACTTACAATTTTATTAATATATTAATTATTATTAACTCCTATATAACAAAAATCCTTAGGTCTGGTACTTTGAGTCACGGTTAAGCTTTTGTTAAGTAATCACATGATTAGACTGTACATATACTAATTTGTTTTATAAAAATGATTAGTTAATCATTATAACGAACCTTTATTAATTTATCCGTTAAGTATCCGATGAACTATTATCTTTTCCTATGTTAGTAATGTAAGCGTTGAACTCTGTATTTATTGCGGGTCTGCGTACTAACATCTGACGAACCGTTGATCTACGTCACAAATCGGCTATAAAAGGCCAACCTCCCCCACATGAAATTCAATAGTGTTGATCGGCAATTTTCCTCAACCCGAAGTAAGTCCGCCTTCCCCCTTGGTATTGGTAACGGTCCTACCAAGGTTCCTCTCTCACTATCCTTCCGTCTGAGAGCAGAACGTTGGTCCCTGTCCCGCCTGTTTTCAGCACTCTCCCTATCCTTCCGTCTGAGAGCAGAGCGTTGGTCCTTGTCCCGCCTGTTCTCAGCACTCTCCTTATCCTTCCATCTGAGAGCAGAGCGTTGGTCCCTGTCCCGACTGTTCTCAGCCTCTCCTGATCCTTCCCTCCGGGAACAGAGCGTCGGCCATTTTCTCGCCTGTTCTTGAAATTCTGTAGTCCTGAAACTCCGAGGGTTGGTCCCCGTACCTCTCGGAGTTCCTTACTTGCCTGTTTTCCCGAATAGCCGTCAACCTGAGTTGAACGCCAAATCGAGGGAAGCTTAGTTTTCCATTTTACAAAGTTTCATAGAATGTTAGTACCGACCATCATTGTCAGTGGTGAATGTATTTATTTATTTTCTTTAAATAAATGGAAGTACATCTATTGGAAAAAGTGGTTTCTTTTCTAATCAGGACCCCTGGTGTACACTTTTCTCCACTGCTGTTACCCGGACGGTGACTTTTTGTGAGACATCCGCATCTCGCACTGAAAGCTTGTCACATCGTCTTAACCAAGACTTAAAGTACCGGGCCTTAATACATAATTTGTCCAAAACATTTATATTTACTGATTTTGTGTAATATTACTTAATCCAATCAGAATTTCAAAAATTTCGCGTATTTTCCAAAAAATGTATTTTTTTATTTTAACTGAACAAAATAATTTTTTACTAAAGAAAACCATAAATAAAAATGTTCCCTATTTGGTGCACTTTTTACTTAGGACAGGAAACATTTTTAAACCTACCTAGAAAACCTAGAAATATCTGAATGTTTTCAATGAAAATTTACTGTACCTAGGGACATCATCTCTTCTTGTAAGAGTGTAACATGCATTTCTAAACTAACTGGGCATTAATATACAGGACTATAAAGGTAGACTAGTTTAGATTTAGTTTTAGATCACATTAATTCATTTTTTTTGTATCTTAATTCCCAACGTTACGCCTATGAGGCGGCCTTTATTTTATATTTTATAGTGGCCAGACAATAGATAAGATCACAGAGCCTCTCATGTAATGTGTGTGTCCTTAATATTCCCATTTCTTTTGTAGTTAGTTTAATAGTTGAGTGAGAAACATTATTTGAGTGAGAAATACTATTTCTCACTCAACGTTTTAATTTAATGACTCGGCAAGCAAACAAATACAAAGTTTTATGTGATGCAAAAGCATAACAATGGCAACTTTTACTCCTCAAGAAAATTGTAATGTAATAATTACATACCATGCTCTACATGAAAAGGTAAGTTCATGTACATGGAAATATGTATACTTCGGTGTGCATCATTAATGTGGTAATATTTTGAGAATGAAGTATGGGATCTGTACCATTTTTTAGGAAATTTCTTAGGCACATATAGAGAACTTTTACAACTAAAAAGTTTCAAACAATGTTTGCAAAATAAAAAAATAAAATAAGGGTGGTCTAAAGATCTTGAAAAGGATTGTACATATATTTGCAAAATATATTTTTTTTCATAATGAACATATAGACACATTTGTGTCTATATTTAGGTAAACACCTATTTAGGTGTTTCTTAATTTTTTGTTTCGCAAATTTCATTTGAAATATTTTTATCACAAATGTTCTCTAGAAATCATCCCCTCAAAAAAGTATGAGTCCCACACCATACTTCATTATCAAAATATCACCACTTTAATTTTCACAACCCGTCACTCTGATATCCACGCTAATTTACTAGATGTGTATTGAACCTAGAAGTGAATTTACAAACTATAACTACATTTGTGACAAGGAATCTGTAGTTGAAATTATCACAAAATCTAATGACCACAATCTTGGATTGGCTGCGGAGATTACATTTCTTGGACTGTGATGAATCTGAACCAATTAACAGTGAACAATTGCATACAACTACCTTGAATATTAATAAACAATTTTTACTGAGAATGCACATTAAACAAAATCTTAACCAAATATTATCCAGAGGTGGTGTGCATCCTTTATGGATCTTACATATGCATTTTTTTATATTTAATTTTGTACCTACCCATTTTATGTGTATCGTACCATTTAATTTAAACATGGATATGGAAAAGTTTATTTAATTACATGCTTGCTTAAAACCCATACTCGTTAATTGTAAAAATACTAATAATTTAGATGTTAAATGCCATTTCATTAAATTGCAAAACTAATATTCTTTTTCTAAAGAAATGAATTGGATAATGAAACAATAAATTAAAATATAAATTTATTATATATATAATTATTTTGAAAATTAATGTAGAAATGATATATAAATAACTTACACTAGTACACAAGAAAATACTAAATTTATATAATAATTATCCCATCAATAATAATTTGCGATGTACGATATAAAAACAATTTACTTGAAAAATGTCCTTAAAATTACTTTTAGTTATAATGTGTATACACATAAACGTTTAAACAATATTATCGATATTTATTCAGACATGGGTTCTGGTCCAGGGCTATTAGCTGTAACTTCATCAAGAGACGTGTTAATCTCACAATCCTCTTTCTCATCTTCTTCATCCAGATACATTCTTAACTGGTTAGCAGATGTAGACAGAACATGGAACTGCTTCTTTCTCTTATCTAATTTTTGAACCAATCTCTTTTTTTCTTCACCTAGATCTTTCAGGTCCTTCTGCAAACATACGAGCTGTTTATTCATTTCTGTTCTAGGAGGTTCAGCCACAATCGCTCTTGCCAATAAGTCATATTGAATTCTGTTTTGTTTAATTATCTTTGCTTTCTCTAACTCAAACCTTTGATTTGCTATCTCATCCTTTATGTCGTTAATTTTTTGCTCATAATCAGCATATAACTCTTGGTATTTCATTAATTGGTCATCATTTGATTTTGTCACCAATTCTGAACGTCTACGAGAATGTTCAACTAGGTTCAGTTGGGCTAAAATTTTATCATACATCTGGCGACTCTCTTCTCTAGATTCTTCTGAAGTATTAACCCACTTTGCTATCATTTTCAACATTAAGTTAAAGCGTCTGTCGTCACCCGTGCCATCTCCATCGAATATCAACCTCCTTTTGATTACTTCCTCTAAAATTTGAGAGAATAATGGTTGGTTTATAAAAAAGAATTAGTCCTAACTTAGCCGTAACTTAACCTTAATCTGTCCTAAAAAGTTAAATGTACAAAATGTAATGTATAGAATTAGGGCAAGGTTAAGATTTTTATAAACCAATACATTACATAATGTACATTTAACTTTTTAGGACTAAGATTAAGGTTAAGTTACGGCTAAGTTAGGACTAATTCTTTTTTATAAACCAACCATAAATGGGACAAAATATTATTTTAACACTTGAAAACCAAATTATGAAAAATACGTACCATCTGACATGTTTACTTATAAATATTTATATAAATGGTTTACTTAAAAAACAAACGTAAAATCAATAGCACAGAAATTAAAAAATTACACTTAAAATGTTAATAAGAAAGTGAGG